GGTTTTTAGTTATTCTATGTTAACTTGAACATATTTTTTCTCTCCACAGACGTACCATTGGTACGTCTGTGGAGAGAAAAAATATGTTCAAGTACTGTACTGTGTTCTCCATACTTATGAAGTTTTATAGGTGTTTTGCGTATTAATACTTAAACCTTATATTTTTTAATTTTGTACTTAAATTGTGTTAATTCAAACATAAATTTTTTTATTTGTTTCTATAACAGCGCCCTGGCTATACTTATGTGGTTTTGTGGATGTTAAGTGTGTTGAAACATGATCATTTAATTTTTTTATGTTTGTATGAAGTTTCCTAACTGTGTAGTTAATGTTTTTAAGTTTATTTTTTAAACTTTTCTTTTTTTTTTTTTTTTTGCCTCCACCGACGTACCAACAGGATCAGTATCAAGTAATGTGTTTTGCATACTTTTGTATTTTTAGGGTGTTGTATGTATTTAAACTCAAACATTACATTTTTAACGTTTATATGCAGTTTCATAAATGTTAATACTATGTTGAATTAAAAAATACATGATTTAGTTGTTTAAATATATATTAGTTTTTCCACATTTAAAGTAAATTGAAATAGTTTATAAGTTGCTATATATATATATATATATATATATATATATATATATATATATATATATATATATATATATATATATATATATATATATATATATATATATATATATATATATATATATATATATATATATATATATATATATATATATATATATATATATATATATATATATATATATATATATATATATGTATATAAATATATATATATATATATATATATATATATATATATATATATATATATATATATATATATGGGGTGTGGGGAGTGTGACACCCCCCATCAATGATTTTTAGTCGGCAAACTGGACCCTTAGTCTGCAAATTGGACCCTTTTAGACTAGTTAGTCGGCAAATGTCGACCCTTTCGATATATATAAATATATATATATATATATATATATATATATATATATATATATATATATATTTATATATATATATATATATATATATATATATATATATATATATATATTGACATTTATTCAGGCTTTCTGTGGAGACGCGTGCGGTTGCACGCCTAGAATGACAACGCATATATTGTTTTGTTGGTAAAGTTATCAACAAAAAAATATGCGTTTACAAAGTTTTTGTTTACAAAATGAATTACGTCATTAAGTAACGGTTATTTCGCCAGCATGGTTTTACCTGAAACTTTTTATATATAAAAAGTTTCAGTTAAAATAATATCTTCCAATATATATATTAGGAGAATAAAAAAAAATTTTTTTTTTTTTTTTTTGTGTATTAAAATTGTTTAGATTATTATTTTTTTATTTGTTTATGTATTCTTATTTTGACATATAAAAGAAAATAAATAAATAAAAGTAAGAATCATATAAATATTTTTATTTAGACATTAAAAAAAAAAAAAGATTTGAGAAAAAGCTTTTTTCCTAATATAAAAAAAATCAGTTAGAACCTTTTATATTTTGTTTAAGTAAATCAAATCGTTTGTTTCATCCATAAACACGTCAAGTCACAAACGATCACTTATACCCCTCATAAATGTTATAAAAAATCACTCAGAAAGAGTGCTACCAGTTTTTAAAAATATCCTTTGCTTATTGTTTTTAATGAATGAGTTTATGTATTATTTTTATGAATGAGTTTATGTATTAGTATTAATTCTTTTGTTACGTAACTCTATATATTAATAAAGTGATGTAACGTAAGGAAAATATACAGTATCAAAAAAACAAGTTTATTTTCCTTTGCCCGTCATCTCTGATAGGTTTTTATATATTTTTTAAATTTGTATAGAATTCTCAACATCTTGTAAACATTTTTCATACAAACTGCTTTGCTGATTCGTAGAAATCAGACCCAAAAATTGAAGCAATTTTTTTACCTTGTTTTCCGTGCAACATAAGTTTAATTGGCATTTTAAGCCATAAGTTCGCCCTTTTTTGGCCAGACTCAAAACCTTATAAGCTACGATCATATAAAGTTTGCAACCCCTTCAAATTGAGGAGGTTTAAACTTTACATGGTCATAATTTTAGAACATTAAAATATTTTACTATGAAATTTAAAATTTATCGATGAATATTAGTCTAGTTAAAAATAGTTCAAAAAATATTATATCAACTAATTGCTCTCACGTTTGGGGCAGGGGGGGCACAAAGTTGTGGGGCTTTTTTGTTCCCAGGCTCCAATTATCGCAATTTTTTTGCAAAGCATCTTTATTTGAAATAGGTATAAACATACAAATGTTTGGAGTTTGCACTATGTCTGAAAGTTAGCTAACGTCAAGAACGGCACCGTCGGCCCTGCTTTGTAATTCAATATTGTGTAAAGTTCTTTTGACAAATTATCTATGAACATCAATTATTTTAACTAGTAGTAAGCAACCCGTAATACGGGTTGTTAGTAAATAAAATTAAAAAAAAATCGCGAATAGAAAAGCCTAGAAACTACTTTAAAATAAAAAAGCCTAGAAAATGATTTAAGTTGACTATTGACTACTATTAAATTAGCGTATTAATATTATCAGATAATCGTAGTATCGGTAACTGATAACATCCATTTATAAATTTTTTATAATTTTCATTAAAATACATTTCATTAAATATCTTAAAAGAAAAAAAAAAAACTGTAATAAACCAACAAAAGAATAGTTACAATAGTTACAAGAAATAAGTTAAGAATAAGGTTATGTTAAGGGGGCACAACCCTATTAAAAAATAAGTGTATTTACTGAAAAAATTAATTTTTCAAAAATACACTTATTTTAACTCAAATTTATCGTAGAAACTATTGCTGATTTTTAAATTTTTTCTATTCATGCTGATATTGGTCAAAATTTCATTTATTTAGATGTTCATTATTTAAATTACCCTAGCAACGCGCATAGCAACCGTTTTTAAATGTTGTTTTTCATCTTTTTAAGCCCTTTTTTCAAAGTTGATCTTGGCTTTTTGTTTGTACAAATGGCTTTTTGTTTGTACAACGACGTAATAAGCATAATGGAGTTATTTAACTAATTAAACTACTGATTTGACAGACTGGTCTTGTTAGAATGTTTGTTTATGTTTTACAAAATTGGTTTTTATTTATTTTTTTATTTTTCAGTATTATAACAAGGTAGTATGCTTTATAAGATAATTTCTATGCTGTTTTGCTAAGTATTTTTATCTATCTATGCTATTTATAAGCTTTCTATCTATTGCTTTGTATATTTATGTAACTAGTATAACTAAAAAGTTGAAAAATATTTACAAATTGAAATGGAATCATCTTGTAAGTTTCGATCTAAAAGACATAAAAGTAGGAAGTTTTATGGCAACAAACTCTCTAACAATTTTACTGAAAACTCTAAAGTTACAAATAAAGAAAACATAGCAACAACAGTTTCTTATACAAAGTTAAATGGTTCAATGGTTAAAGTTGTTGATAACTGCTGTTCAAAAAACATTACAGGCAACCGAATAGTTGATATGGAATTGTTAGCTGAAACTTTTAAGATTCTTTTGTGCCCAGAGTGTTCACATAATTCAGTAAAGCTTAATCAAAAGCAGAAATTAGGAATTGCTTTCGAGTCTTTCAATGCAACAATATGGAATCGTGTTCCAAAAGATGCATTTGTAAAACTAGTACAGTTGGAAATTGCTGCTTATGATGCAGTTGCTCATTTTAATATTGGAAATTTAGCAACATTAAAAATATATGATAAAATGCAGATGGAGTGAGGCAGCTACACTAAGCTTAGTTGCAAAGAAAGAAATCGTTCACGATTAAAAAATGCAAGTCGAAAAAATGGTGAGAAGTATAGGATGCGTCGCAAGTTTCTGCGTGGAGCTAAAAAGAGTAAGAGAAGTGAAAATAAAAATAATGAGGGTTTGTCATATGGAGCAGGAAGTTTTAAATGTTTATATCAAATTAGTTTTATCATACCTGTTTATATGAACATGGCATTTAACAGGAAAAAGTAAAAAATTTTGACCATTTTAGCTTTTTATTCATTCCCAAGTAGAAAAGGGTTATTAAATCTGACTTTTGATAAATAAAGTACATCTATTGTTTGAATATAGTCTACAATGCAATACTTAATAGATAAAAAGGCTCCAGATAAATATAATTATTATTAACAATAGAGTTAACATAATTTTTTTTTTAAACCTTTTTTTCTAAGATTTCCACATTTTCTTAACTTTGCCTGACTGTGGCAAAGATATTTCAAAAACGGTTTGATTAAAACTTCTCATATTTTGACAGATTGTTTATTATGTACAAGGTTGTGCAATAAACCTCAAAATTATAAGAATATATGTGTTAAAAATAAAATATAACAATTTTTCGGTCATTATGGGGGATAAAAATATCATTTTTTTTGTATCCTTTAAACAAATAAAGCACGACCCCAAGGAATAAGTAAGTTGTTAAGTTTTTGAGGTTCATTGCATACCTCTAACATCAAGCTAGTTAAATGCCAAATTTTATTCTATGTGACCTTCTGCATTTTGAAATATTTTTGCCACAAAATGGTCAATTTTTAAGTTTTTGCCCCCTAAAAATTGCCCCACAGGGCAACCCCTTCTTTTTTTTTAATTTTTTTTTTTTTTTTAATCTTAGTTTTATTATGAATTTACTTAATAAATAAAAAAAATTATTTAAATATCAAAATTAAAGATTTTTTTATTTATGGGGTTGTGCCCCCTTAAGTCATTATTAAAAATCTTAAACTTGATTAAGTATCAGATTGTTTAAGTTTAAGGAAAAAAATTTCAATTTTCAAAAAATATCCCGACGGGCATTTGTTTTTAAAAGTTACGTTCTAAATGTGTTTTAAACATCTTTTAAACATTAATGTTTAAAAGACGTTTAAAAGACATTTAAAATACATTTAGATCGTAACTTTTAAAAATAAATGCCCGTCGGGATTCAAGACTTTTTTGCACTTACTTGTATTATGGTTCTTTACAGTTAAGATTTCAGCGAGCTCAGGTTTATTTATATCACAAAGTAAATCTTTAAAATTCTCTAATTTATCAATTCCAACATAGTCATTGTTTTGAAGGATTTCAATTAATTCAGTAGATAATGTTATCTTTATAAGTAAGTCCGAACTAATTTTACCTTTAAGCAAAAATTTTAAATCCTTTATGTCTTCTTCAGTGAGCTTTTTTGAAATCTCTAGCATTTTACGTTTATAAGCTCTCTCATCCATTTTTGTTCGAAATAAAATCAATCAAATATTTTTTTCAAAAAAATTTGATAACAATTTTTCCTAATATTGTAAACTTCAATTAGCTTTCTATAAAAGATCCAAAAATTTAGCACTCTTTCATACAGGTTTGGTCACAACATATTCCATAACGTAAAGTTTTACGTTGTTCACATACTGTCGACTTAAGTAGCATCTCTCATAACATCCATTTATTATACTTGCAGATATTCGATATAAACGATATAATATTTTTATATAAACGTAAATATTCTAGATCAATTATTTGATTGGTTGTTTTTTTTAACGCATGCGAGTTAACGCATGTTTACATTTGTTTTGCTCAATCGGAATATGAGAAAAGCCGAACATGTGTATAATATATACATATATATGTATATATATATATATATATATATATATATATATATATATATATATATATATATATATATATATATATATATATATATATATATATATATATAACTTTAGTGTTGACATCGTGTATAAGAGTGTATGTATGTATATTATTAAGAAAACATCAAATAATACGAATTCTCTTAATACAAATGATAATTTATTATTAGAAATTTTCGCTGGATTATGGTTACCAGCATCATCAGCTCGTAAAAATTAATACTAAATTTTTTTTAGTATATATATATATATATATATATATATATATATATATATATATATATATATATATATATATATATATATATATATATATATATATATATATATATATATATATGTATATTTATATATATAATACGCGCGTTCGGCTTTTCTATAATAACTAATATATAGAATATATATATATATATATATATATATATATATATATATATATATATATATATATATATATATATATATATATATATATATATATATATATATATATATATATATATATATATATATATATCATAAATATAAATACACACACACGTTACTTTTGGATATTTTTTTCAAGGTCTTCACACTCTATTCCTAATTTATTATATTCAACATCTTATACTTCGCCTTGTTTACCGTATAAAATAATTTTTTTTAGAGATATAAAGGTCAAGACATTCTATATCTTCACCCAAACATGCTAAATACTCGTACATCTCTATGTCACACAATAGACTCTTTTCTGAATCACCAATATTATCACAAAGTTGATGAAACCATTTTTGGCTCTGCACCCAATCAATGTTACAATCATATTTAGTAATTAAACACCTGATACTAGCACACATTTTTTGCTGTGTACAAGGTTGTTTTTTTTATTGGAGGAGTTAAGAGAAATGCTTTCTAATTGCGTCTTTAATTTTGAAATCTCTACAAATTGATTTCCTAACAAACGCAAAGTTTCTGCTGTTTTAAAACATTCAACGCTTTTAACAGCCCTCAATTCATTCGTTCTCATATTCTCATAATGAAACAAAGACGATTTAGCTTGACAACCCAAAGTCTTACCTTCCTCCAACAAAAACTTATACATTTTTAACTTAACTCCTAACATAATATGTAAAACAGGTAGCACTATATTATCTAAAGTTATTATGTGGAATATCACGGGAGCAATAATTGATTTATGAAACTTACCTAGAGCTCTTAAGTTTCCACATTGTCTATTTTCACACAGTTTCTTATTATAAGCATAGTCCAGAGATTGCATTGTCCTCCTTAAGATGTTACAATTAACAGGTGTGCGAGGTATTGAACCATGGTTTCTAAGAAAATTCGATTCAACTTGATCTGTAGAACTAGGAAAGCTAGCAGCTGAATCCCGGTGTCCAAGAACATCATCGATGAAATGAAAATATAAACCTAAGAACAACCTGACTATTTTGCTTTTTAGCTTAAAATCTGGCGACTGAATACGTTTAATGTCGTTGGTATATTTCACGAGAATTAAAGCAATATTGTCACGACAGTGTGAACCCAGATACATACAAATTAAAAGAACATCATATACAGACCCTGATAATTTAGAATTGACAACTTCAAAATGGAATTTCATATACTTTTCTCCCTTGTCTCCAGCAAAAAAGATCCTTATCTCTTTGCCGAAACCAATATCTTAGCCTACGGAATTCAGCCATTGGCACCCTTAATTTGCTCTGCAGCTCTACAGTATCAGAAACACTTAATTGCCAAACTAAACCTAACTTTTTTGCAACATAATATTATTAACTTTTCACAAAACATAGAATTAAAAAACAACATGGACAAATAACTTTCAAAATCTGAATAAGCTAATCTTCGAAAGAATATGTGAGCAAGTTTAGACGCATGTCTAGCTGCTGCATGTCTAGCTGCAGCATGCCTACCAAACTTAGAATAAGGTTTACCATGTTCTAACTTAATGTAAGTATATTTTTTACTAACTATTGGCCTTTTAATTGATATAGCCTTATTTTTAGAATTTAAATTACAAATTTCAGATTCCAACTTTAATAACTGCGATTTTAATTTTCTACATTTGCTTTATTTTCAGAAGTTAATTGGTCAACTTGACTTCTTAGTTCTTTATTCCTATTTAAAAATAAAAATGCATCTGCATCTGCTAGTTTTTTTTTTTTTTTTTTTTTTTTGTAGAGCCGGAGACAGTTGCATTTTAAAAAAGGCTTTGCTTTTTTGAAGCTTTAAAACTTTTTTTTAAAAGTTTTTTTGCGTAATAAATTTTGGCACATATTATCGAACTCATCAAAGCTAGGCAAATTAAAATCAATTGGCAATATAAAGCTCATTAAACTAAACAATGTTTTTGACTTAAAAATAGACAATAAAATTGAAATTATCGATGTCACAAAATCGCTTAACTAATGGAAAGTTACACTCATTTTCCCAGATAACATCCTATTCAATCCATAGTATTAATATTTCTCTTTCAGTAGAATACATAATAATAAATAAATCTTGTAATAAAAATATAAACAATGCAAATAAAATAATATTTATTGACAAATAGATAAACAAGATATAATAGGATTAGAAAACTTATCTGATGTTAGTTGATTACTCACGAAAAAAAAAACTTGCCTAACTTTGTTTATTTTTCAATTCAAAATTTGTTTCGCTAAGAAAGTTGTTTTCATAAAATTTTTTAAAAATTTGGCAGGGATGTACAATATTTAAGGTCACGTGATTGTTTCAAAATGTAAAAAATGTTTTATGCATAAGAGCCGTTTTTTCTAAGAATCAGGCAAATTCCTGAAACTGTGGAAGGGACCTCCTCCAAATTGCTTGAACTTTTTAAAAAAATTTTAAAAATGATTCGTTCACTTGGAATCTGGGCTTAAATTTTTGAAAATTTTTTATAAATTAAGTTTTTGCCACCTTTGAACCCATTTTTGGCAGGACAAAAGGTTGCATATAGCTTTTGTAGTTAATATATTTTGTGGGCTCTCTTGTCAAACCCTCATTCCGACGCTGTCCTTTAAAGTCCGCGAAATGGCGAGTTATAACGCTTTAAAGATTTCGCTACGGAGTTTATTTTTAATTTTTTTTTTTAATTATTAAGATGCTGTAAGAAGTCCTAATGGTCACAGCGCACCGCTACAAGGAGAATAGCATTATATAAGTTGGCTTTATTTTTTATTATATTTTATTTACTTATAAAATCAAATACTTATAATAAAAATAAAATATTTAGTATATAAAAGTTTTATAATTTGGTTATTTGGTTATGTTAAAATATTGTTTATTACGTACTTTGAATATTTTACTTTCTAATGGCGAAATTATATTTAGCAATGGTTCGAAGTGTCAGTAGGAGGTCATGCAAAAAATTTGCAGGAAAAATGTTTACTTAATGTTTACTTTAAAAATGTTTAGATTAAAAATGTATTATATACAATTGACATATGTAATGTGAATTTGCCACAGAGCCATTTCCTCGATTACTCAGTGACTTTTTCAAAATTCCACCCAATTTCGCTGATTATTATTTTTAAAATTCAAGTTAATTTCACTCATTATTTTTATCAAAATTCAACTCAATTTCACTGAATTTTTTTCAAAAACTGAATACAGCTACTCTACCGATTATTATCAATTTAAATATTAATTATTTATTAAATGATTAAAACAATATGAACGTATCATTATTAACGTAAGTTTATTAAAAATTATTATAATTAACATTAAATATAGAATATATTTCCACAAAAAAATTATTTTTACCTTAATTATGATGAACTCAGTTTACTTTTTTAACTATTGGCTAATGATCAATATAGTAAATTTCAAATCATTAAAATTTACCAAATTAAAACCATATCTCAACAGTAGGTAGTTCAACCAAATTAAAAAAAAATAGACTCTAAGAAAAAAAAGAAAAAAGAAAGAAAATATTAAAAGTAAAAAAACATATTTTGTTATTCATACATGTAAAAGTTTACTTATTTTTTAGTTATATTATTTATATAATTAACTATTAATTGATACACAAAAAATATTGTTTATATAATTAACTATTAATTGATACACAAAAAATATTGTTAAAAACCAAGAAATATAAAAATATTTCTTGGTTTTTAACAATATGACATAAAAAAAGAAGGCGTTTAAAGAAAGTCAACACAAATAATGCTAAACATATCTTAACTAGACAATATTGGACTTTTACTTATATTAGGAACAATATAATGTAATAAGAATCATACCACAGGTTCCTTTAAGTCTTAAGTAAAGAAGTAATTTAATTTATTTCAATAAACTAATAATAAAAATACTGACAGATCCACTCAAGCGCTTTATCTAAACTTTATTAAAATGAAGACCTGAAATATTTCTAAAAAAAAGCTTAACTAAGAAAAACCAATATACTAAAAGTCATACTATTGACTAACAATTGTTGTTATAAACTATTCTTTCTCTAGACAGTCTCACTAAAAAGTTAAACTTTTAAAGTTAAACTCTAACTTCTCTTAAAGTTAAACTCGAACTCTTTTAAAGTTATACTTTAACTTCAAATCAAACCTTTTTTTAATATTAAATTTAAAATATTTACAATGCTCATTTAAAAAAATTATTGAAAACTGTTTATCACTCTTAAAATTTTTTTGATCTTGAGCTTATTCTCTTCTTGTCACCATCTGAAGTGTGACTGGACTATTGTCACCATCTGAAGTGTGACTGGACTATTGTCACCATCTGAAGTGTGACTGGACTATTGTCACCATCTGAAGTGTGACTGGACTATTGTCACCATCTAAAGTGTGACTG